GTGGAAATCACCGAGATAGGTTCTGTCATTCTCCTTCCCCGTGTTTTTGTTCCCTGATTCCTGTCGCTGTTGCGATTCTAGATTACGCGATGGTCGCGGCCGTCGGGGTTGGATTTGGACGCAGTAGGTTGGATGCGCCTCTTGTCCACGATGTTTTCTCTCCGCCGCCCGCGAGCGCGTCGCCGTCGTCGTTGCCCGCTGTCGGGGGGTCGTCGCCGTCGTCGGTAGATCGGTCGGTCACTCGTCCTCCATCCTCCTGGTCCTCCTCGTCCCCTAACCCCCCCTCCTGCTCCTCCCCCTCCTCCTCCTTCTCTTCCTTCTCCTCCCCTTCCCCCCCCCTCCCCCTCCAGTTCCTCCTCCCATCCTCCTCTTCCTCCCTCCTCCTCCTCCTCCTCCTCCTCCTCCCCTCCCTCCTCCTCCTCCTCCTCCTCCTCCTCCTCCTCCTTCCGCTTCCTCCCCCTCCTGCTCCCCCTCCTGCTCCCCCTCCTGCTCCCCCCCCTACTGCTCCTCCTCCTACTGCTGCTGCTGCTCCTCCTCCTCTTCCTCCTGCTCCCATCCCCTCCTCGTCCTCCCACGGCTTCTTCCCAAAACCCTTGTGCCTCTCCAGCGCACCGCCCTATCATGGAGAACCCCACCCCAGCCGAACACCAGGCACTCGAAGACCCCTACGAAACATCATTCCAGCCGCGGACATCCCACCCAACACGCTCTCCATGTAGCTAGCCCAACACACCTGTCCATGTCCGTTTCCACTGCTCGACCTTTCCGTTTCCAGTGCTCGGCCTTTCCGTTTCCAGGGTTGGGAACACCATGTCTAGGATTGGGGAACAGCCTTTCCAGGGTTGGCAGGAGCGTCGGTTTCCAGGGTTGAGACGTCGTTCCTTGGGTTGGGAGTTTATCCAGGCTGCAGAGCAGGGGCGTATCTGCATTGCTGTACACGTCTGCTTCGCTGTGATAAACCACTGGCGATTCAACAACAACCCGTACAAACGTCATAGCTCACCTGACTCTAAGCATCTTAACACGTCGCCCAGGGCACGCTGGGACCGCCCAGAACGTCAAACGCATGGGGAGGGCCATTTACCCTGTTCTGATGCAGCGTCTGTTGAACAACTTCGCGACGCATTTATATGATTTGCAGGACCTCGCTCGCTGACTACTCCGACTGCTCTTCCCCTCCTTGCCCTCCCACGTCTCCGCGCCGCATCTTTCACATAATTAGTTCAACAGCTCTGGTACATCGTGCCCGTTCCGACCGAGCAGATGGGGAGGAAGAAGAAGAGGAAGATGTGGAAGGCATGCAGGAAGGGGAATGGGATGTCCGAACGCACTGGTCTTCGGACGCGCCGCAGAGCCCAATCCGAGGAGCGATGCGACGGGACGCTCTTGTGTCTAATCGCCTTCCTCGTGACGTCCGAACAAACGTCCGCACTCGACCTCATCGACGGCGCCAGACCCGACCCGCAGACCCGCCTCCGAGTAGAAGGCAGTCAGTCACCACGACGTCTTCTTAGAGTCACCTTCACAAACATCACCATCATCACCACCACCATTATCGTCATCATCATTGTCCTTACCACCATCATCACCATTACCATCACAATCATCAGCATCTTCCTCATACTCGTCATCATCATAATCATCATCATCATCACCACCATCATCGTCATCACCATCACCATCACCATCTTCATCATCACAAGGCATCAGGCGTCGCCATCGCCTCTTCATAGCCGGCATCCTCATCACCATCACAGCAAATTACCATCACCACAACCATCACCCTTGCGATCATCATCATCACCATCATCCTTATCATCATCATCATTAAAATACTCATCAACATTGTCATCATCATGGGCATCATCATCATCACCAACACCATAATCATCAGAATAAGCATCATCATCACCATCATGATCATCATCACCGCCATCATCACCAGCAGACGCATCATGATCAGCATCAGCATCAGCATCATCATCACCATCATCAGCATCACCACTTGCATCATCATAGTCATCACCACCACCACCGCCACCAGCAGTAGCAAGCAGCAAGCAGCAAGCAGCAAGCAGCAAGCAGCAAGCAGCAACTAGGGGGAGGGGGAAGGACAGGGCACCGAACCCATGGCGCTGTCCAGGGGGGCGCGTGGGGGTGCCCCGCGCCCGCGGAGAAGCTGCCGAGAGGAGGCCCAGCGTCTCGGCCCGTGCTCGCGCCAGGATGCGGCGTCCGACGTCGGCGGCGCTCGGGCCGGCGAGCGCAGAGGGGAGCACTAATGCGGGATGACGATTAAGAAAAAAATGAGGGGATAACGTTAAATTCTAATCGTCATCCCGGGCGCCGCCGCGTGAACACGACCCCCGGTCATTTATTAATCGCCATCCTCCATTAAGGCTTCAGACACGGCGCGCGGGGTCCCTCGGGGGCCCTGAACCTTGAGCAGGGAGCCGCCGTCCTGGCATTCCTGTGCGCCTGCCGCGACATGCCCTCAGAACAAAAGAGCGCTCTCAGAGCAAGTCTAGCGTTCGTCTGGCATGAGAGAGCCGACGGTGTAACAACACTAATGCCGGAAGAACAACATACACAAACCAACACTGGCTAACGAGATGTGTCGAACTTTCTTTCGTGGGCCTCTAGGCAGACCAGGGCGCTTCGACACTGCTTGGCGAATCAGGCCGGAACCTGCGCGTCCTCCCGAAACGCAGGCTCTGGCAGCCCGGATGTGACGGAGGTGTGGGCGGTTGTTTCTGCCAGCGCTGGTGCGCTTCTCTGGCGCCGACGGTAGCCCTGATGTCCGGGCCACACGGATCGATCCGCTTCGAAGAGCAGCCGCCGAGTGATGTGGGGCCCAGGGCTCCGCTCGTGACTTCTCACGATGGTGCATCTTTTTCCGAGGCGTTGGACCTCAGGGAGGAGGAAGGGGGTGAAAGGGAGGGGCGGTGATGAGTCAGGATGGCTCGAGGCTCGAGGATCGGCCACGTCAGCCCGCGGGCCTGGAACAGAGAGGAAGGTCGGCCGCCCCCCCCGCCAGGGCGAGGAGCGCTGCACGGGAGGGCGAGGTTGCACGGCTTCGGCGAGGGGGCTCGCGGGGGTCCAGGGGCAGTTCTGGCGGCCTCGTCCTTGAAGTCCTCGCTGGAGCTGATCAGCGCGAGCGCGGCCTCTTGGACGTTGCGGGGGGTGGGGGGCGGGACAGCGGGCCCCAAAGCGAAAAAATCCTGAGATCCGTGCGTCGTGGACTGCGACGGGCGATGTTGCACTCTTCCGGGGCCCAAGTCCCTCGCAAGTCGCTCCTGCTTTCTGCGGGGAAGAAAAGAGACGCCAGAACAATGAGGTGGGGAACTTAGGGTGCGCTGCTTCTTTCTCGCGACGTCAGATCTCAGGAAATGTTGGGGGTGCGGTGGGCCGTGGGCCAACAGAGAGCTCCCGAGCTCCAGACAGGCTCTCAAAATGTCCCTGCGCGTTCGTAAAGGGAGAAACACCCCCAAAGACGTGATGCTTTTTCCAATCAGAAATCGGGTACCCTGGCACCTTCCTGGAAGCAACTTTCTCATGCCGAATTGCTTCTTGAACGGCGAAAGACTGGTGATTTGCCTTACTGCTCCAGATCTCTGGGTGGTCACCAACGGTCACTCCGGCGAAAGGTCACTCTTACGCCAAGCCGATCTGACTACCTGCCAAACCACCCCAACTCAACCCAAAGACCCCAACTTCGCGTGGGGGGGGGCTACGGGTTCCATGTTTGTGTTTCCAAATTGTTCCCCGACGCCCCCTTCCACTGGGAAAGGAGCGCACATTGGGGCCTTCGGGTTGGGTTGGGGTGGTTAGGCGGGTGGTGATTCTCGCCGTTCTCGTTTGCTCGCGGAGGTCCTCCAGCCTCGGGGTGCTCTCTAGCAACTGCGCCTTGCCGAGGGCACCCCAGGGGCGCCCGCATGGTCCTGGGGAACGAGCCATAGCCCGCAAACCACCGATCCCCCCAAAGAACAGGACTGATTTGTTTCGCCGTTTCTTGGCCTCTGGGGGCCCTCGCCAGGCCCCGGGACTGTCAAACAACGATTCGGAATGGGAAGCCAGCCCTGGGGGAAGGCCTGGGACTTTTGGGGGGCCCGTGAAAAAAAACATCTAATATTTGGGTCATCGTCGCCGTCGTCCTCGTTGTGCTCGTTGTCCATCTGCGTTTTTTCTGCTGCCATGTCCAGACAGGCCTCGATCTTGGTCACTGATGCCTTGGGGTCCGATGTCTTGTTGCCAGCCACCGCTGCATTGATCTCCTCTGGGGGCGCTCCTCTTCCTCGCCCTCCCCGTCCTCCTACCCGCCTAATTATCCGCATCCTCCTCTTCTGGCTTAAGCACTGTCACGCCGATTTCGAACCTCAGAAGTTTCGTGAGCAGGTGAGGCGAGGCGACGTCGAGCAGGATTATACAACACGTGGTGCGGTAACAACGGGCAACACAAGACAACACGGGCAATCTAAACCGAAGGCATCTCGACTACGACAGTGCAGAATGAGTCACGGCACATAAACACGAGACGCGGTATGGCATGGCAAAGGCTCGTAAGGAGAGATATGCACCAACGGGGACGGCAAAATGTGGTAGGCGAGGGGGCACTCGGTAACAACAACCGTGCAATCTAGAATGGCAACGTAGACATGCAAATGTGGAAACACGTGTGTACCATACAACTGTCACTATAACGATACAGCGGTACGCACTTGGATGTCCAAGGGAGCTGTAGTAGCAGTCGTGTATGTAAAGGGTTCAAGTGTGCGTGTGTGTGTGTGTGTCGGGGAATGTATAAACAGTGCGTGACAGTGTTGCGAGGCTTGGACTCAGATAGCGTGGCCAGAAGCACCGTAGGAATCACATACGGCACCACTTTTGGAGAATCACGATGAGCGAGGGCAGCTCCAGACTGGAGAGGGGCATGCCAACAAGTCCTCGCCTCGGGACTCAGGCAACTGTTTGGCGGCGTATGGCCCAGTGAATGACAGAACCCGACCGCCTCAGCAAACCCAATGCCCCCAGGACGTCAATCTTCTGGGACGGGGTCTCTGAACTCCGAGTCTACCAGCCCCCTTGGCGTGCATGGTTTAGGGGGCTTCCTCTTTCTACCACTTCTTCCCCCCCGGGGGAGTGGCCTGCTCATCCTTCAGGAGGACCCGAGAGGAACCCAACGGCTCCCAAAGACGCCCCATGGCTCCCAAAAGGGCCCCAGCTGTATGTGATCCCCCTTCTCCCCACAGCTCGCCTGGGCAGCTCTCCCGGAGGGCCTCACCGATGACTCATCGGGGGTCCCCACCACTGCTGCCGGAGACTCTGGGGGAGAATTCTGGGAGATTCCTGGGGGAGCGAGAGGTCTTCATACACCCGATCTAACCGATGAGGAGGATGTGCTGATTGCTTCCCCGGCGGAGGCCGCCCTGCACTCCGAAGGCACGCCTCGCCGGCCGTGCTCCTGCACGCTGGGCCCGGTGCCCGAGGCCGCCTGCGCTCCCCCCGCCCGCCGACTCTCGGCGCTCGGGCTCTGCCCTCCTCCCTCCTCCTCCCTCCTCCTCCTCCTCCTCCTCCTCCTCCGCGGCCGCCTGCTGCTCTCCCACCCACCCCAGCGCGCCCCGCGCGCCCCGCGCGGCCAGCGTCTGCCGGCGCTGCCGGGTGAGAACTCTCCGGGTGGAGCTGGGCGAAAAGCCGCGCCCACCGAGCAACCGACCGAAAGACGTCGATGAACAGCTCCGCCAACACGTTGTGGGCCGTCGGCGGGCGCGAGCCTCCGCCCACGCACCCGCAGCCTCGCGACGAGTTTTGGGGCGCGGGCGCTCGCAGCAGCAGCAGCCGCACCCTCGGCGGGTCGACACATCTTGGGCCACGAGCTGTTTTGCACCCCTGCTCAGAACAGGAAATGGTAGGCAAAGAACATGGATTTTGCTTGAAGCGCTTCCTTAGCCAGCAGCCCAGGTCCGCGTGCACGAACAGTTTACGAAGAAAAGGGGCTCCAAGGAAACGCCCAGGGCCCTGTCCAGGCTCTTGGCTTTCTTGAACGAAAGCTGCAATCCATGAAATTTGCTGTTTTGCTTGAGAGATCTGACGGGTGTGCATCTTGTTATTCGTATTTCGGGTACGGCGAGGATATGGAACCATCGGATGAGGAATCCAAGGTATACAAGCCAGTGAAACTCCCATCGTGGATTGGTCGTGGATCTCACCGCCACCCTCATCAGAGAAAGAATCCTCCAGGGGCTGACGCACGCCTCCTGGGCCAATTCCTTAAACAACAACCAAACTGTAACGGCCGTTATCCTGGGGGGGAAGGGTGGGGGATTGGGGCCCTGGGTGACGGGAACGCTTGGGCGGGGTGGGGCACGTCAGGGCGGGGGTGTGTTGCGATCCCCACACTGTGTGGGCGAGCACCAGCAAGAGGGGGTCCAAGTCCCCACCCCCTCACGTACGATCGTTACCGTCACCTGGGAAAAGGAGGTGGGGGTGTCTGGCCTGGGTAACGACCGTTACGCGCCAGAAGAAGAAGAAGAAGAAAATGAAATCTCCACAGAAGCCCACAGTCGCTACGAGGCGGTCAGACAACCGATCACAAGAATCTTGCAGAAACCCACCATCCACCCCGCCACCGCACCCGCAATCACCGTCGATTCTCATGTGCCACCGCTATCCTGAACATTGCAACCCTAATCGGACCCTGGGCTTGACCGGCGGTGCTCCGCAGAGGCACCGCAGCGGGGACTCAACATTCCACACTGCTGTCGTGCATTGCTTCTTGATGTGAGGCGACATGGGGCACTGGCTCATGGGCGGGGGTTCTAAGCCCAATCCGCCCAACGACCTCGAGCCTCCCCCTCCTTTTCCCTCCTCCTCCCTAGAGCTCCCCATCCTTGTACTTGGCCGTTTCCGCGTCGGACAGCTTGAACGCCTTGGTGGGTGCGTAGACGACTGGGCGAACCATCGCTCGTGCACGCAGTTTCGGAGGGGGAAGAACCTCCTGGGGGCGTTTGCGCCTTGAACCGCTGCGGCTGCTGTAGATCAGGCGAGGGGTGAGGAACAGAGGGTAGCTCGAATTCCTGGAGGGGGCCTGTCATATGTCGCCTCGCACATAATGATTGTGATGATGATACGGGGGAGGGGGATAATAGGAGGAAGAGGAGGACCAGGACGAGAGGGATGACCAGGAGGAAAATAAGGGGCATAATGATGCGAGGCAGCTGAGGAGCGGGGGAGGAGTGCGACGAGGGTAGAAGATGGGGAAGTGCAGGATGATGAGAGGATGGATGCATTATGGTGATGAGGAGGTTGTGGGAGATGATGAATGTGATGGTGATGATGATGCTGATGCTGCTGCTGATGATGATGGTGATGATGCTGATGAGGACGATGATGGTGATGATGGTGATGGTGGTGATGATCATGGTTACACTGGTAATGGTGGTGATGTTGTTGCTGATGCTGATTGCACGTAGCTAGGTGATACTGAAAAAGAAGAAGAAATCTGACTCCGACAAGGTTCAAACGCGATCCCCGCAAGGCCGTTTATACTTCCAGAGTGTAAGCCATCAAAACGACTGCTACCTATAGCGGGATGCAATCTATGTGGTGCAATACCAATTGTGCAATGCATGCTGTGCATTGCTGTGCATTGATGTGGTGCAATATGCATATACACGCATATATATACACACCTAAATAAATATGTGGTGCAATAGATGTTGTGCAACATAGGTTGTGCAACACATGTGATGCAAACGATGTTTGGAACGTGTTGTGGGGGTGGCGCAATCTATGTGATGCAATCAACGTGGTGCAACCTATGTGGTGCAATCTGGGCGGCGACAAGGCGGCGACGGCGAGCACGAAGCCGCCAGACCGCAAGCCAGGCCCAAATGACGGGCGGCGACGAGGCGGCGACGGCAAGCACGGAGCCGCCAGACCGCCAGCCAGACAACTGAAATCGGTTTTCGAATCTCCAGGGGTCCGACAGGGTCCCAGGTGCAGTCGTACAAGACTCCAGGTGATTCCTGCAGGAGCTCCAGACATCAGACATCACAAGAAAGACAAAGGAAGGAAATGAACTAACTGTTGGGGCATGGAGAGGCCTCCATCGCATCGGTTCCATGTGATGTGCTCGTGCAGCTAGAACCCCCTGGATGCAGAGCAAGCCTGTGCAGTCCCCCGTGCAGTTCTGAAGAACGTGCGTCCTGCACCAGTCGAAGCTGGCAGTCGCACGATCTGTGAGCCGCCCCGACTGCGCCGCCCTGATCCCTCCATGTATCCCTCTGCCTCTTCGTCCGCTTTCTCCCCTTCCCTGCCCCCTCCTTCTCTGCCGTCGTCTCCACCCCGTCCTCCTCCTCGACACCCCTCCATCGCACCTCCTCTCACCGCATGTTCGTGCCTCGACGACGTGGGCCCCCCCCCATTATGCGCTCCCCCCCCCCCACCGCTGCCGCCGAGCCCCGCTGCTCGAGGCGGCGAGCTCGGCCGCCGGGCGCGGAGTCCGGGCGGGCGCGGAGCGAATAGACAGCGAGGGGGAGGAGGAGGAGGAGGGGGAGGAGGGGGAGGAGGAGGAGGAGGAGGAGGAGGAGGAGGAGGAGGAGGAGGAGGAGGAGGAGGAGGGAGGAGGCGTCGCGCGAGCGCTCCTCGACTTCGAACGAGCTGCGCCCTCGACGGCCCCTGGGAGGCTGCCGACACCACCGCGGGGCCCCTCAGCGCTGCTCCCGGGGCCCGAGCGCGGGCTCCAGCGGCGGAGCAGATTTTTTTGTTTGTGTTATATATATACATATATATATATATATATATATATATATATATATTACTTTTTATACTTTTCTTTACTTTCGTTCCTTCTCTTCCTGGCCCCCCCCCCCTCTTCTTCGCCCCCTCCCCTCTTCTTTTCCTGGTGAAAAAGAAAAGGGGGACACCTTTCTCTTCCTGGCCCCCCCCCCTCTTCTTCGCCCCCTCTGCGGCTTCCCCCGCCACCCGTGGAGGTCTCTGGACGTCTCTGGAGGTCCAGGCGAGGCCACCGGAGGCCTGCGGGGGGCCCCCCCCCAGCGGGCCCAAGAGCACGCGCCGAGCTCCATCCTCTGGGGACGCTGCACCTCCCCCGTCTTGCTCCCATCCGCTTCCTCCCCCCCGCCTCCCCCCTGGGCCCTGGTCTGCCGTGGCCCCAAGACTTCAACCTGGAACGCTCGTGCCGGCGTCACCGACGCGTCCAGGAGGCATAGACCTTCTGTACCTGCCTCCTCCACCTCCTCCCCCCTCAGCCCCCGTCCGCACCATCCACCACCCAGCCTGGACTCCGAGGTGAGGTGTGGTCAAAGTACTTTCGAAACCAACAACCTGCATCATAAAACATTCTAAGAGCCCGCTCCACATTCCCTCCTCTATCTCCATCCGCTTCCTCCACCATTCGTCTCCTGGGAGCTCGGAGGTGTGATCTTACTCTTGCTCTTACTTCCGCCGTCTTCCACCGACTTTCCTGCCGTCGCACCCGCCACCGTTTTACTTCCACCAACTTCCGCAGAAAACGAGATGCGCCGAAGGCGAGATGCTTTCCGGAGCGCCTCAGCGAGCCTCGAGACCAGCAACCCTGATAACCCGCTCCATCTGCTCCCCCCTCCTATTGCTCTCTCTCCCTCATCGTCGTCCAATTCGTGCTGGCGCACAGGCATCCGCAGAAGTCCTCCACACACTCACAGCAGAGACAGGCCAGGACAGGGACGAGAACACAGTCGAGGGGAGACAAAAGGGGAGCGGAAACGAGTGAGCGAGGCGGGAAAGCAGCAGTCAGGGTAGGGAGCGGGAAGCAACATAAGTGAATAGGGAGACGGGCAGCCCAATATTGCGTTACGGCTCAAAGCCGTCGAAGGTGATGACCTGGGACGCCTACCTCCTGGCCCTGCCCGAAGGGGTCGGGTCGGGGTCGGGTGGTGGTGGGGGACGGAGTGATACAGTGACCCCCACCACTCTCCTCCTTCGTCGGCCCATACAGGCCAAGGCGTGAGAGTAGTATAACCCTTAGGCCAAGGCAGCGTCAAGCGTCTGAACTAAGACACTTGAAATTTGTTGATATGATACGGGCCCAAACGGTTCTCAGGGCGCCTGGTGGCAGAGGACCCGCAACGGGCACAGAAACCAGCGGCAGCCCAGTCTGCATGCAGTTAAAACAGGGTCAGCAGACCGTGCATCAAGAACATGGGCCCCTTCGCCGAGAGCCCAAGGCCCCACGGAGGCATCCCAAATGAAAAGCATTCCAAGGTGGAGAGCCCAACGGCGAAGAAAATAAGGGCACCCCTCCAAAACTACGATTGTTCTTGACCCTCGTGCAAGCTGCACTGGCAGTGGCAAACGCCCACACAAGCAGGCGAAGGTCGAGAGCAGCCTGCACGGGGCTTCCTTGTCCACGCCCTCCTCCTCCTCGTCCTCCTCCTGCTGCTGTGCTGCTGCTCCTCCCCCCTGCCCCTCGCCCTCCCTGCTCGCACAGGAGGCCCTGCTTCGATGATGCGCCACACGGAAACAAAGGTGCCCAGGGACACACAACTCAACAGGCACAAATCCCAAGATCCCCCATATGTTTCAATCTTTACTGGATTATCGCCGTCCCCCTTCCTCCCCCCCGCACTTCCTCTATTCTGCATCTGTTCCGGGGAATCGACGTGCCTTTGTCTTTCTTCTCCTCCTGAGGTCAGATGTGAGTGGGCTGCCTTCCGTGCGCGAGCTTCAGCCCACAGGCTGCGGCGGGAGCGGCGTGCAGAGCTTGGCATCTCGCGCGCGGCGGCCCTGGCCCACGGGCCCACGCCACTCTGCAGCTCTCTGGCTGCGCACTGGAGCCTCGGGGCTAGACCAGCGCGTGCCACTACTCGCAAGGTAGCAACTCGCAGACGGCCTGGATCCTCCGCGGGAGATCTACGATGCATCACGTAAAGGAAGACATGCTTTGTTGCGGGCGTTTGCGAGTACAGTGCGGGCGCGGCCGCAAGACCCCCCCCAAGAAACCCAACCCTGAAAACCCGCGCGCGAGGTGCATCTGAGGGGAGACGCGGAGCACCCTGAACGGCTGCGGGAAGTCACCGCGCAGCGCGAGGAGCGACGACACCCAGGACACCCTGTCGAAAAGCACATATGGCTTCTTGATGCGCGCTCCCTGTACCCTGTAGGCACTTTGCGAGCAGTGGATCGCGCTCGGTGAGGGGTGACCACGGCTCCCAGCCTGCAGCTGCCGTCGCCGGGCTGCAGGGCGCTCTGGCGGCAGAGCCGAGCGCCGCGGCCAGGGGCCCCGGCGGCGGGGCTGCAGGGCCGGAGCGCAGCCCTCGGCCGGGGCGGGCGCGGGGCGGCCGGACCTCGCGCGCCCGACGGGCGCGCCGCGGGCGGCGCACCTCGAGGGCCTCCCAGTCCGCGCTCGGTCGCGGCGGCTCGGGATGCCGAGGGGCTGCCGCGGCCCAGGAGCTCGCGCAAGCTCAGCTGGCCCACGCCCTGGCGGAGGCGCGGCCCGAGGCGCATATGCGCAGGCGCGACACGCAGCCGGGCAGCGGGCAGGCGCCGAGGCCTCGGGGGGCGCGGAGGTCCAAGCGCAGCGCAGAGGCCCAGAGCGCTGCAGCGACCGAGCGAACGGCGGAGGAGGCCGATGCAGACGTGCAGCGCGGCGCAGGGCCCGGCTTGCCCGCCAGGATGGCGCAGACGCTGGGGTCATCGCCGCGATGCCCACCATGGCAGGAGGATGCGGCGAGAACATCACGGGGCTGAACGGCGGATGCCCGAGCCAGGGGCGACGTCCACCTTCGACCAGGCACGGGGGCGCGCGTCGGCAAATTCAACGAGCCGAACGCACATGTGCCCCAGTTCGAGGCGACGGCCGCTTGCGGCCAGGCAGGGAGGTGCGCGTCCGAGAAGGAGCACGGAGCTGAGCGCCCGGCTGGCCGAGTCCGGGGAAAAGTCCACCTCCGACCAAGTAGAGGGGCACGTATCCGAGAAGATCACGGACATGCACGGCCAAATGGCCGAATCCCAGGCGGCGTCCGCTTTCGAGCAGGCCCACGAATACACGTCCGTGAAGATCACGGAGCTGAATGACCAGACGGCCCATTCCGAGGCGACGTCCGCCTTCGAGCAGACGTGGGGCACGCGTCAGCGAATATGAAGGTGCTGAAAAGCGATCTGGCCGAGTCCGAGGCGACGTCAGCTTTCGACCATGCAGGGGGGTACACGTCCGAGTTGACCAGACAGCCCAGACAGCCAGTCCGAGGCGGCTGGCTGTTTTCGACCAGGCAAAGGAGCTGAACGCCCAGACAGCCCAGTCCGAGGCGACGCCCGCCGGTGAGCCGACCCCGGGTTTACGCGCACCCGGAGATCGCGGAGCTGAACGTCCGGATGCCCGCGTCCGAGGCGACGGCCACTTCCGAGGAGACGCGGGGGTACGCCTTGGAGGAGATCACGGAAATGGGCGACCAGATGGCCGCGTCCGAGGCGGCGTCCACCTTTTGGGCAGACGTGCAGCGCTCGTCAGCGAACACCAAAGAGCTGAGCAGGCAGGCGGCCGAGTGCGAGGCGACGCCCGCCTGCTCGAGCAGACGCGGTGGCACGCGCCCGGCAGGGCCACGGAGCTCAGCGGCCAGAGGGCCGAGGCCGAGGCCGAGGCGATCGCCAGCGCGACCCATGAGCTCAAGAGGCCAAATAACCCTTCCGTGCTGCGGCGGCGAGCACGACGGCACAGCAGCCACTGCCGAGAGGGGCCCACTGCGCCCAGCGCGACGATGCTCTGCGCCTCAACGCTGCGCAGCACGACCCCGACCCGAGCTGCCTCCGAGGGTCGGGGCGCGGCACCTGCTCGGAGGGGGGGCACGTCCGCAGCACTGGGAGGCTCCTCCCCCTGAGGGTGTGCCCCGAGGTCGGGTGCACAAGCGCGGCAAGGCGCTTCGCTTCAGCCCTCCGTACAACCTGCCGTCTTGAAACGTAGACAGCCTACAACAGTTACACAGATGAAGGGCTGGCCGTTTTCAAATGGAGGCGCTCACCTTAGCGCCGCGCGCACTCGTCTTCAGAACGTGCATCGATTGCAGGGGTGAAGGGCGTGCGTGATTCTCAAATTGCGGGTGTCTCTCGCCTTAGTGCCAGGTACCTTCGACGTCTAAGTCCCCAACCGATCCAAGGATGGAGCCAGCTTCGTTTTGGAAATGCAGCACGCTTGAGACATTGTCGAAGTCGGTGACCCAAAATTCCAACGAGTGCCCCAGCTACACGGAAGGAGGCCGACCCCTTTTTCAAAATGGCGCCCTCGTTGGAGGCTGCTTCAGCTTTTGTGGCCAATATTTTGAGACTGTGCAGCACGTGCACGGATAGAGGCCATATTCCTTTTCGAACCAGGGCTGTCGCGGGACACTTCCTTGAACTTCGTAATCCTACGTGTTCGCGTGCCTCTGAGCTAAACAGACGGATGGTGGATTCTTGACAGGTAGGGGTCTCAACTGAGGGCCAGGCCCGCGAGGCGTTTGTCGTTCAAGGGACTGCGTTCCAGTGCATCGGTAGATGTGCAGGGACTGGTGGCCAGAGAACTTGGGACGGGAGGGTGTAGTGCAGCATCGCTGACGCAACCTGGGCTTGCTTTGGTTCTCCTCCTCCTCCTCGTCTTCCTCCTCGCCCTCCGTCGTCCTCCTCCCTTAACGCGCCCCCCCCCCTCCCCTCGGGCCCTTGTCCGCCGTGGCAGAAGCCGGCGCCTCGCCCGTCCCGCTGGCAGCGGCGGTCGTCGTCAGAGGGAGGAGGGGGGAGAGGAGGACAAGGAAGAGGACGACGAGAACGAGGAGGACGAGAGGAAAGAGAAGGATGAGGTGAAGTACCAGAAGGACGACGAGGAGGGAAAGAAGTCAGATGAAGAGCAGGAGGAGGAGTAGGAGGAGGAGTAGGAAGTGGAGGAGGAGGAGGAAGGGAGACGGATTAGGACGTTTTTCGCCCCCCCTCGGGCTCCTGAGGGGCCCCACCATCGTCATAACTGGATGTCGCTCGAAGCGCTGCCCAGAGCGCGCTCCAGGACAAGTCTCAGAGCCGAAAAAACAATGCGCTCCTCGACCTGCACTGTTCGAAGTTCCCCAGGCAATGCTTGCATTCAGGTATGCTTACTTAGCTTCGTTGAGTGATTGGCCTGGGATTCCAAGCTTTCGACGCTGCGGGCCCGTGCCGCCCCGCGTGCGTCTCGTTGGGGCCCGCGCTTGGGGGGCTATGCCGAGATTGCGGCACACTGCCGTCTGGGCTTGCGGGCGCCGCGTGGGCACCCCGCGCTTGCCGGGCATGCCGAGGTTGCGCCACGCTGCCGCCGGTGCTGCCTCGTGGGCGCCTCGCAGGCTCCTGGGCCCCCCACCCTGCTTACATCGCGAAGCTTGCACAACATAGCTTACGTCACGTAGCGTGCAACAATCGTTTCCACCTCCTGTTCACACTGCATCGACTGCACGGCATAGCTTGCACGCACAGTTTCCGCCCCCATAGCTCACACAACTTAGCTTACAGGATACATCAACCACATGGCTTACACCGCATACCTTCCACCTCCACTGCAGAGCATTACCGCACTGTTTGGGGTCCACGCCAGCTAATGTGTTTTGTTTGCTTTGCCTTACCCTTTCAAGAGGAAAGGCAAACATCTCGAATATTTGAAGACAAGCACTTTCCCGAACACCCTAAATGAAAGTGCTATTGCATCTATGCTTTCCGTCGCCCACCAAGCACACGCAAACGCCATTGGATTGAACATAAGAACCATGCATGGGAACCAACGGTTCGGCAAAATCCGTGGATCCTGGCATCTTTGTGCCGTTTTGACCCCTTCGCTACTACTCGGTTTTCCTCCTCCTGTAAGTTGCTCTGCCTCCCTTTGTCCCCAACGATCCAGTGTATCGTTCTTGTGTAAACGGGGATCCTTGGAGTCTCGACTCCCATTCACAGGACCAACTTTTCATCCTGACCAATTTTTTGATAGTCCCGCAGCCCAGCAAAGGGCGCGGGAAGCTCAACATAGCGACAAAACAACTCCGCATGGATTTGTGCAATATGCGGGCCATACTTCGGGCCCCCAGCGGCCGTTCGGTCTTCGGGGGAGGAGGACGAGGGAGGCGACCAGGACAAAGGAGAGGGGGAGGGGAGGGAGGGGATGGGGGACGAGACCACTTAGAGAAGGCAGGAGGCACGACTGGGTGACCACCGCGCCCTAGATGGACAGCGCACTGAGCATTGTCGAGCGCCTGCTGAGGGCTCGGGGTCGGGCCTCCATGAGACGCACAGCTCGCCCTTGGTCGAATGTTGGAAGGATAGAACCGTATGTTCTCCTAGGTCTGCCAGGTGTGACGGCTGAGAGGAGGCAGGAGGAGACAGGGTCGCCTGGCCCAGAGGCCGCCCCAGGGCCAGAGGCCGAAACTGGCGTAAGGTTTGTGGCGCGATTTTGCCGAGTCGCCAAAAGCAATAACACAGGAAAGGGGCTCGGCGCCGGTGGTCTCGCACACCTTGGGTCACGTCCTGGAGGCACTCTTCCAGTGGACTCACTGGTGGAGCGATCCGCCATAATCGCGCTCTTCGCGTACCACTTCCAGTTCTCCCTCTCGCGGGTGGGCGAGGCCCTGCTGAGTCGCTTGCCGGATGCCGTTCTCCACGGAACCGATGCTGCCCATGGCCTCGCCAACGCCCTTCGCGTACTGCTCCTCCGCCGTCTTCAAGTCCCAACTTCCAGCCGTCTTGTTGGGTGGTCCTTGACAGCGCCCTTGCCGTACTGCTCCTCCACCGTCGTGGTAGATGGGCCGACCAGCTGCATGCACCGCTCGGCCAGGCGAGAACGCCTGACGTGCTCCAACTGCTCGCTCGCACCCGCGCACGTTGACGACGGAGGAGGACGACGGACGGAGGAGGAGGAGAGGAGGATAAAACGAAGCCAGGACCAAGACACATCGAACTGGGACACATCGTGGATCTCTGAAGTCCGGCTGTTCTGGAAGATGCCGCGGCCGTTCCATAGCGCTCAGGAACGCTCTGAGAGCGTTCCAGAAAGCTCTGAAACGATTTGCCTGTCCTGGCCCCACACGAGAGGAGGAATGCGGGGGAGGAAGGAAAAGCTCAAATTGCCAAGGTAAATCACGGCGCTGGGGAGGAGGAGGGACAGGAGAGCGAGGAGAACAAGCATAATGCCGCCTCTCCATATGCGCCCCGTACCTCCAGCAGCTCGATGGTTTAGAGTCGCTGGTCCCTCTACTTCTCGAATCTCTCCCCGGGCAAGATCAGGCAATATCGACTCGGGAGCCCGGGAGATCTGACCGCATCGGCATGTGTACAGTCAGGGCGTTGACCTAGGGAACCCTAAATAAGGAACGAGGCCCCTTTTTTCCATAAGTTAAACTTCGACTTCCGATGGAAAGCCGAAGGAAAACCTTGGGCAAGCTGTGATACACTCAAGGAACACCCAGCCCCTCCCCAACGAGAAGGGTTCCTTCTTCAGGGCCCCGACTGTAGAGGATCCCGCTGCATCGGCACGCAATCGGATTCGAACCGAACCGGCCACGCCAGACTGCGCGAACGCGCTGTTCGGACACCGGCCCGTGTCGGATCGTCGGAGTGCCGGAGTCGACCCAGATCGGGCTGGAGGAGGAGGAGGAGAAGTAGGAGAAGCAGGAGGGGGAGGAGAGGGAGGAGGAGGAGGAGGAGGAGGAGGAGGAGGAGGAGGAGGAGGAGGAGGAGGAGGAGGAGGAGGAGGAGGAGGAGGAGGAGGAGGAGGAGGAGGAGGAGGTCGAGGAGGAGGAGGAGGAGGAGGAGGAGGAGGATATGGAGGATATGGAGGATATGGAGGAGGAGGAGGAGGAGGAGGAGCCGAAACTGCTATCGAATTGGATCCATCGAATCGGTATGGACGCTGCAGGGCTGGCCCTTCGACCCGGGTGCGTAGTTTCCTGACGGCCCCCAAGGTCGAGGAACGGCCCCCCCTGGGGGGCAGCATCGGCCAGATGACCTAACCGGAGTTGTATATTCGGGGGGGCCTTGGCTGTCCCCTCGCGCCGCGCGCCGAATCCTTGCCGAACGCGCAGTGTCCGCGCCGAACGCACATCGGATGCGCAGCGGCCCCACGCCACACCCGCGTCGAATCGGTGTCGAACCCGCGCAGGACACGACAGAAGTCCGCCAGTTTACAGGACAGGGCAAGGCCCCCCCGAACGTCGGCGGCGCGCGAGGGGTGGGAGTGAGAAGGGACGGGCCTTCTTAGAAGGCTCAGGAGTCCCCCTTCCCGGAAGACAAAAGACTCTCAGAAGGCCTGAGCGCTTCTGAGAAGCCCCGCCGCCTTCTGAGAAGGCCTTCTCCTTCTCACCTCCCCCCCATCGCCCCTCGCTCGCCGCCGAGAGTACATATGCGAACGACACCGACACTGACTGGACACCTCGATCTCTTCGCTTCGCCGGAGGGCTGAGCCTCGCCCTGCCCCCCCCCCCGCGGAGCCCGTGCCGCACATGCCCGGCGCGCGGAGGCATCTGCCGCCCGCCTGGGACCGCGGGGGGGCTGGGGGAGGGGACCGCGCCAGAGCAGGGCAGCGAAATCTGTACGGACGCACTGCTCCACGGCCAGGCCCAGCAGCGGTGTATACGCCACGCCCTCGTGGCGTGGCCAGGAGGGTATAAACAGCTCCTGGGTTCAGGATGGGCCTGGCCGGGGCGCAGTGGAGACGTATAGACTTCGTTGCCTGACGAAGAATGGCCCAGGCCTCTTCCGTCGCAGCACGGCAGAGGCCATCCGCTTGGGCGCTCGAACTTACGACGGAGCCAGGACGCGGATAAACGGGTGAGGATGAATCGAGTCCCTGAGACCCGGCGGCTCTGGCGGATGTCTCGGGCGCCGCGGCCTTCTCGGGACGTTCCGGAACGGCCCGAGAGCGTCCTGGAACGCTCTGGAACGGAATTGCGCGACAAACTGCCTGTCCGGCAGCAAGAGAAGGGGCGCAGGGGAGGAGAGGCGGCCGCGGAGGACGGGCGGGAGGGGGGAGGCACTCCTGGCCGAAAGCGCTTCAGGCGAAGGACCCAGGCATCCAAAGGGTTGTTGTTCTGATCTTGGCCTTTTCCCCTAGTTTCGGGAGATCGTTTCTCGGGCCCCGGGGGGGCATCGGATATTGGCCTGGGGCGACAAACTGTCCTCGGGGCAAGCAAAAACTGGGTCGACCTCCAGGGCCGCGGGCTGAAACAAAACGCACCGTCGGATGTCTGTCTGGGGGTGCGGGGGGCCAGCTCCTGTCGCCCCTTCAACCTCGCTTCCTCGCCTTCCACCTCCCTCTTCCTCCATCCTGATGCTGAGGGTGATGTCTCTCCTCCTCCTCGTCGTCCTTCTCGTCCTTCTGCCACCTCCGCCACACTCCCCATCCTCCACTCTCTTCCTCTCCCCCCACCCCCTCCCTTCTGCTTCACCTCCTCCTCTCACTTCTCTTCAGCTCTTCCTTCTTCCTCCTCCAACTCCTCCCCCTCCAACTCTCCTTCGCCCCTCTTTTCGGCTTCCCCCCTCTTCGGCATCCTCCTCCAACTCCTCATCCTCCATCTCCTCGCCCTCCTCTACCCTTCGGGCTCTGGCTCAGGCTCTTGCGCACTCGACTCGGGCAAGTTGTGGCCGCGACCCTGTGCAAGAAGCACGCAAAGTATCGCCCCAACACGGGGCACGGGCAGTAAAGCAGATGCTGCTCGCACGCGTTTGCCTCCAGAGGACCAGGCCTCGCCAATCATGCGACACAGTTTGTAGCGCACCAGGGGAACTGCGCCTGCCCCGTCGACCACAGGTGGTGCGCTGGTGCGACGGCAGCAGTGCCCTCCTCCCCCTTCTCCTCCTTCTCCCCCCTCCTCTCCCTCTTCGACCAATCCTCCTCCTCCTCCTCCTCCTCCTCCTCCTTCAACTCCTCCTTCGCCCAATCCTCCTCCTCCTTCGCCCAATCCTCCTCCTCCTCCTCCTTCGCTCAATCCTCCTCCTTCGCCCAATCCTCCTCTTCGCCCAATCCTCCTCCTCCTCCCCCCTTCTCCTCCTCCTCCTCCTCCTCCTTCGCCCAATCCTCCTCTCCCTCCTCCACTCCTCTTCCTTTAGCATATCCTTCCTGTTGCACCCCCAGACGTTTGGGTAGGACAGGCCTGGCGTCGCCCGAAACTTCCTCACCAGATATTCTAAGCCGCTCGAGGCGAGACAATTCTTCTGCGCCAGCGCCTTACTATGCTCTAGGGCACAAGCACTGGTGTGGCTGCCTTTCCGCCGCAGCTGGACTTGACGCGGCAGCGCCTTCGGTCCCAGCCCTGGCTGCGGCGACGCCAGTGGCGGGACGATGACGACAACGACGACAACGACGACGACGACGACGAGAACGAGGACGAGGACGACGAAGAAGTCGAGGACGAGGACGAGGACGACAACGACGACGCTGTTTTTATCGTGCGTTTTTGCCTTTCCAGAATTGTCGGCATGTTTTTGCATTGCAATTATTTTGCGCTGTAGTGGCGCTGCTCGAGCTTGAGCTTTGGATCCCGCGTGAGAGCCAAGCGTGCCACGGGGAGGTTCAGGGAGGGTTGAAGCGCACATGTCGGCGACCACCACACGAAAACAGTTGTTTGTTGTATTGTCGTTGTTGTTTGCTTTGCAGCTTCTGCTGCATTGTATTTTGTATTGCATGAGGCCCCAAGGGATTTCCAAGAGGTCTCCAAGCGGGTCACGAGAAGGTCCTCGCTGAATGGGATCACCGCTGGTCTGCTTGGGCGTCCCACCCAGGCATTCTAGCCCAAGGGATGGGGTAACCATTCTTCACCTTGTATGTTTGCCTGATCCTGTATCCTACCAGATGAGATAACCAGCTCCCAGAGGGAGGCAAGGAGGAGGAGGAGGAGAAAGACGACGACGACGAGGAGAAGGAAGAACAGCAGGAAAAACAAGAAAAGACGACAAGGCCCGCGAGGACAAGCACGAGGAGGAGGGGGAGGAGCAGGATGACGGGGAGGAGGAAAATGGGGAGGAGGAGGAGGAGGAAAAACACAATTTCTGACGGTCCCGCCGACAATGCTGGAAAGGCCGAAATCAAACCAAGAACGACGCCGTCGTCGCTGTCGTCCTTGTTCTCGACTTCCTCGTCGTCCTCGTCGTCGTCGTCGTCGTCGTCGTCGTCATCGTCCCGCTCCTGGCGTCGCCGCAGCCGAGGCTGGGACCGAAGGCGCTGCCGCGTCAAGTCCGGCTGCAGCGGAAAGGCAGCCACATCAGTGTTTGTGCCCTGGAGCATAGTAAGGCGCTGTCGCAGAAGAACTGTTTCGCCCCGAGCGCCTTAGAATATTGTTGGGAGCTTTCTTGAACTCTCTTGGACCTGGCACCTTTTGGAAATGTCTTGGACCTCTCCGTTATGCAAGAAAAGCTGCAACCCCTAAACATCTGCAAAGCAGAAACACATGCATTCCAAACGCTGCATTGTTTCGAGCGGTGGTCGTTGACATGTGCGCTGCAACCCTCCCTGAATCTCCCCAAACCACGCTAGGCTTCCACGCGGAATCCTAGGCTCGAGCTCGAGCAGCGCCACATCAGCACAACACAAAGCTGAAACGTAAGAGAAACTGCAATGCAGAAACAGGTTGCGATGCAACACAAGCTGTTTTCGTGTGGTGGTCGCCGACATGTGCGATTCAATCCTCCCTGAACCTTCCCAAACAATGCTTGACTCTCACGCAGAATCCTAAGCTCAAGCTCGACCAGCGTCATTACAGCCGAATAACAATCTTGCGGACTAGAACTGCAATGCACAAACACACACCTATGAAGAACAACTGTTCTCGTGCGGTGTTCGCCCACATGTGCGCTTCAACACTCCTTGAACCTCCCCAGCCCACGCTTGGCTTTCACGCGGAATCCTAAGCTCCAGCTCGACCAGCGCCACTACCGCGCAACCAAAAACTGCAATGCAAAACAAAAGTGCAATGCAAAACAACGGAAATTCAACAGAAACTGTTTTCGTGTGGTGGTCGCCGACATGTGCTTCGACGTTCCCTGAACCTCCCCAGACCACGCTTGGCTCTCACGCGAGATCCCGAGCTCAAGCTGGAGCCGCGCCACTACAGGTAATACAACTGTAATGCACCAGCATCTGCAACGCCAAGAAACTACATTGCAGAAACACGCAATGCAACACAACCTGTTTCGTATGGTGGTTGCCGACATGTTCGCTTCACCCCTTTCGCTGAACCCCCCCTAAACAAAAACACTTGGCTCTCAGGCGGAATCCTGAGCTCGAGCTCGAGCAGCGCAACGACAGCGCAACACCAACAAAAACTGCAATGCAACAAAACACTGGATTGCAAAACAAGCAATTCTACGAAAACTGTGTTCGTGAAGCGATTGCCAACATGTGTGCGCCAGCCCTCTCTGAGTCTCCGCAAACCGCGCTTGGCTCTCACACTGGATACTCAGCTCAAGCTCGAGCAGCGCCACTACAGCGTAATTGAACTGCAATGCAGCACACAATGCTATGTGAAACAACTGCACTGAAACAACTGCAATGCACATAGAACTGTTTTCGTGTGATGATCCACGGAATGTGCGCTTCAACCCTCCCTGACCCTCCCCAAACCACGTTTGGCTCTCACGCGGAATCCTCAGCTCAAGCTCGAGCAAGTAAGGTGAAGCTTAAGTCGCAAGCTTGAAACTTGCTCTTTCGAATATTTGCGTCCCGCCGTGCGCTGCGACGGGTAAGAACATCACGACCCTGAAGCTTGAAATTTGCAACATTTTCACGGATGGAGGGCGGGCCGTTTTCAAAGTGTGGCTCTCGCCGTAGCGCCGCGCACATTGGCCTGGAACGCTTGCAGCAGGCTCAAGCAAGTGATAGCGACTGGCTTTCAAAATGTGGCTCTGGCCTTTGCGCTGCGCGCACTCCCCTCAAACGTTTGCAACAACTTCGGTCCATTTTCAAAATGTGGCTTCCGCCTCAGCGACGCGAGCAGTCGTCTTGAACATACGGTTGAAGTCCCAGGAATGATGCTCTGACGCGGTTTAGGATTGCCACGACGCAGCAGTCATGTTGATTCGCGGTGCTGAGCTCTCAAAAACTATGTTCTGGCACGATTTAGGATTGTCCGGTCGGAAAGGTCACGTAGATTTGCGGCGCTGATGTGCCGGGAATTGTGTTATGCCGCTGTTGAAGGCTCTCGGACGATTGTCTTCGAATGGGGCACTTCCCACACTGGGCATGAATTCTTGTAGAGGCCCATGAACAGGGAACTTGGAGGGATTATTTGCTGCAGCATCGTTGATGCGTCTTCGGTTTACACTGGTGCCCGTCCACCTCATCCTCCCCCTCCTCCTCCCCCTCCTCCTCCACCTCCTCCTCCCAATCCCCCTCTCCCTCCTCCCAATCCCCCTCTCCCTCCTCCTCCTCTTCCTCCCTCCTCCTTCTCCCTCCTCCTCCTCCTCCTCCTCCTCCACCTTCCCGCGCTTCCTCGTCCTGCCCCTCCTCCAATTCCCATCCGCAAGAGGACCAGAGAGGCA